CAGATTCTTGTCCATAGTACTTTGTGGTGAAGAAAATCGTCTTCTTATCTATATCATCTTTCTTTGTTTGTGACCTTATCCTTACTAATAGTTCGCCTTCAGCTATACCTCTTCTAATGATTTGAAACTATGCAATGTAGTTTACAAACTGTTTTCGAAAACATTTCCAACGTAAAACTACTGTTAGAAAGCGTGATTATTTTATTTATTATCATTGTTTATTTGACATATGAATATACAGAGTTTAAGAACATTATGAAACAAGACTATCAGAAGGAAGCAGATATGATGACCCTTGGTGATTATTTGATTAATATAACGAATACATGTGCCTACTATTGGTGTTTGAATGGTCGATCATTTTTGTTGTGTTCATATTTTTCATGCACAAAACATTAACTATATACTGTGCGGTAGTTGCAATGCCACTTATGGGATTATATTGATTTTCTTCCAGTATATATGGACGTAAGAAGGGAAACTCAGTTTCGATAATAATTTTATTTAAAATAGTTGAATGAGAAAGCAGCCAGTTATTAAATACCTTTTGAGCATTTGGATCATGCGCGATGATAGATCCATTGAGACCAATAAAATAATTCTCAAAATGACTCAAGAAATCTGTGATAATGTTCAAATTACTATTTGGATTAATGCAATGCCAATGAACATGATGTTTTGAGTTTAAATGCGTTTTTAATTCTTCCAGTATTATTGAAAATGAATTGGTTCCTCGACCGTGCAAGACGACAGGAATGCCGAAATCAGCTGCCATTTGCAATTGAAACTTAAATATAAATAATTGATCATTTAAAGAATATTTGCTCGTCGCATCAATCCCGCATTCGCCAATAGCTACTTTCATTGTGTTCAGAGTTAATTTATTCTCAAAAATTTGTTTAAATTGTTCTAATACATTTTCTCGATCAGATGGTAGGTATTTCGGATGAATTCCATATGTAGTGAATATTGTTACATTTGGATTGTCGATCAGACTGTTCACAAACCAACGCTGAAAGTTATGACGATTGTCTATCAGCACCATTTTCCGTCCATGAGCAAGTTGTGAACCGAAGTGAGTTTCATTAAATCCATATTTAAAAAATAGGTCCACATGGCAATGACCATCGTAGAGTGGTAATGCTAAAGGCAAACGATATTTCTTCTTGCAAGAACATGCGTTATAAAGACTTTGTTCACAGATACAATTCATCTCCAACGAACAAATTTTAAACCAAGATACAATTTCACAATTTAGAACGAGCGTGACAACCGACTGTATACATACATTCGAATTTCGTCATTTCATCCATAATCATTTCCGACGTGCACAAATGTCAATCACGGTCGAATCTTAATTAACCTCATCAACAGTTCATTGCCACGCCGACTGAAGAAATCAATCCAACCCATTTATCATTCCTTCGTCACACACCATGAAAATACTGTCATTGTTAATTTATTCCTCGATTCATTTCATAACATGTCAACACAACACTATAAACCAACGACTACAC